GGTGTCACTTTGTTGTGGATTAAGGTCCCAGAAGTTTCTCCCAAAGGTGCTTTTGTCATATGTGTGCAAATGTCCACAAGTAGAGAAAAAAATCTTTTGATCTTATTAGGAAAATGGTCTTGATGTCATGGGCCCCTGTGGAGGGGTCTGGGTGCTCCAGGGTCTGGGGATCATAGCTTGAGAGCTGTGGTCCGTGTTCACGCGGGCTCAGTAGCTTGCAGCCTCCACCACTCAGTCAGCCTTCCAGGGCCTCAGTTTTCTCCACTGTAAGGGCGACTGGTGGGGCTCTAAGTCCCTCCATGCTGTGGAGCAGCTGCTCAGCACCTGTGACACTGCCCTTGCTGCTTTTTTCCCTCTGTCTCCCGCTTGCTTTTCTCTTTGTGTCTCCCCCTAAGCTCCCCTTTTTCAGGTTGGCATCCTCCTGGTTGTTTCACCTCGTCTTTCTCTCCCTAGATGATCTTACTCCTTCTCTGATCTTTAATTACCACCTGCAGGGTGATAGCTCCCAAAGCTCTTTAACCAAATGTCTATCCCTAGTTCCAGTTTCATGTTTTTGCTGAGGGCCTTTCCACTTGTGTTTCCTAGTCAGCATGTCTGGGCTGCTTGTATCATCTCCCCCATACCCCCCACCCCCATTGCCTCCTTTTCTGGAATAGCCGGTCTGATTAACTCCTCATCCTCAGCTGCTTAGGCTAGAGGCCCAGGAGCCCTCCTCCCTTATCTAGCACCATGCCAGATCACCTAGGACAGTTAATTCTGCCTCCTAAATCTCTCCCCAATCTTGCCAGCTCTGCCACCACCACCTTCAGTCAAGCCTTCTTCCCTTCTCGCTTAACCTCCTGCAAGAACCTTCCTGGTCCTGCTGTTACGTGTTTTCATCCTAGGCTGTACAGCTCAGGCTAAAAGCCACGAGTTATCTTCTCACGTATTTGCTTTTTATCAAATAAATCCATACTGAGTACTTACACCAGGCACGGTGAAGATGCAGCATAAAACCCAACAGACATTGTTCCTGACCTCCAACCCTCAGTAGATGGAGGAGGAAGGAAAGTGCAGGGCATAGGTCATTAAGACTTGGAGTAATGAGGAAAGATGGCCCGGCGCTTTGGGAATTCCCAGCATCAGCTGAGGGCTAGCTGTGTCTGAGGGGTGCTCAGGGCAGAAGATGACTACTCGCATAGCTCGCTGGGTGGGAGTGTGGTGGTGATACAATTTCCTGGGGAACTTGATCATCTCACTTCCCTGCTAAATAGCCCTCCTCTAAATTTCACCACTGCCTGCAGGATGAAGTCCAAACTCCTTCCAGTGGGGCAGAAACTGGCCTCCTCTCACCACTCCCCTGCATTCACTGAATCAGCCTGAGCTGCTTTCAGTTTCCCCAGACTCCACTTTCTCAGCTTCAGACCTTTGCACTGTGGCTCCTGGTGCCTGCCACCCTTTCCACTGAGTACCCGCAGCTCTGAATCACCAGTGTCAGATGGCTCAGGAGAACTTGCTGACCTCTCCCCTGCAGACTTTGTGGCTCCAACTCGTGAGTTCCCCACCTGTGCACACACCTGGACTCCTAGGCACTTATCACATCATTACAGTCTGTCCACACATGTGTCTCTTGCCCCTGACTGCCAGCTCCTGCTTTGCTCCACAGCCTCAGCACGTGAGCACACTGGCTGTCCTCAGGCTGTGTGTCCATTGCATCCTAATGGACAAGGCTAGATTATCACCACGGCCCCATCTTTTTGCTTCTTTCATCTCTGCTTTGCTTCCATCCCACCTTACAGAGTTACCAGTTCTGCTGGACAACCCATTGGGTGCCTCACACTGGCACTCCTGCTGGCCTCGCCATGGGAGCAGTGTGGTGGGGCTGCTGGTCCCCAGCAGTCCTGAGAGCATAGAGCTCAGCTCCACAGATGAATCTAATTCACAAGTACCAGTCTAGCTCAATGGGCTCCTTTCCACCTAGTGACCCTTTGTCTCTGGGTTGGTTCATTGAACTAGTTTCTCTCTTCCCAGCCTGCCTCTTACCTTCTCACCTAAGAGGCTTCCCAGGGACTGCCCACCTGTGTGCTCGACAGCTGCAGCATGCGTTGGACGTGAAGGATGCATGGGGTATTTATTTACAACCCTAAATTAGGACTAGGGGTGTAGCTCAGTGGAGACAGTGCTTATTTATTTATTTATTTATTTAGGGGTACCGGGGATCAAACTCAGGACTGCACACTTGCAAGGCAGGCGCTTATGCCGCTGAGCTAAATCCCCAGCCCCGCCCAGCCCCTTTTTAATGAAGAGAGTGCTCATTTAGGAGGTGAGCTTCTGGCTTCAATTCCCAGCATAATAAATACAAAATCAAACCAACAAAATAATAAATTATATAGGCAATACCGAATATAGCTTAATTGTTAAAAAAAAAAAAAAAAACCCTTCAGTAAGTTAATGCCTACCCTTGCTACTCCTTCCTCAACCCAAAAGCCTGCCCTAGAGGTAGGCAATATTAATTATTTAGTGGAAATGTTCAGACTTCTGTTTTCAGTACCGGGGATTGAACCCAGGGTGTTTGCACCCAGCTACATCACTAGGCCTTCTAACAATTTCTTAATTTGAGATAGGGTCTCACTAAGTTGCTAAATTGCCCAGGTGGGCTTGAAAGTTTGCCTCAGTCTCCCAGATAACTGGGATTGTATGAGTGTGTCACCACACCCGGCAATGTTCAAGCTTTTTGCTTTGCAGTTACACACCTTGTGGATATGATAATATTTAGGAATTGACCTTTTTTCTTCCCTGAGTTTGCCCTTTTTCTGGGAAAGTTCACAGAGTTCATTACCTCCTGAGCTGTTGTTGCCCGGGTTGGAAGCCCAGACCAACTTTCAAACTTCTCTAGTTTTTGTGTGTGAAAGTTTAGGCACTTCAGGCTGTTTCAGGACTTACTGATTAGCACATCAAAGGACAAGGGTCCTCTAGTGGAGACTAAATGGCTTGACCCAAGCCATATGAAAGAAGATTTTCTTTGGAGTAGAAAGACATCCATCATCTGTTTTCAGCCTTCCCCTCCCATCTGGCTGTGGGCAGGAGACCAGACTCCAGAGTGGCACCTGAATTTCTAACAGTCTGCCTGGGCAGGCAGGGGTCAGATCCCAGGGAGGTGGCTGCACGGTGGAGCCAGCTCATAAGGGCACTGGCAGCTGGGCCTGTGGCTCCTGGCTGCCCAGAGAGGCACAGAGCAGCACACCTGGCCTAGCCTAGCTCACAGACACCTGCACCTGGCTCTCCCCCTAGGGCTTTGAAGAACAAATATCTATCACAATCAAGTGTCCTGTTGTCAGGATAGAAGCTTACCATAAACACTGAGCTGAATGATAAAGGCTAACATGCTTTCTTGTACACACCTAAATTTGTAAACTGAGATTCATTTTTATGGTTTGTACCATTCAAATAGTGCATTTTAAAAAACTGAAATGATCAGGAATGAGGAAGATTTATCTAATTCTTTTCAAATAGCTTTTAAAAAGTATATACTCATAGTCAGAAGGAAATTCACACAGAGAAAGCAGAAGTTCTGTAGCCCTTTGTTCCTTCACCTCAATGTAACTATTGTTAACAGCCTGTGAGGGTACCTCCAGAAATTTTCTATGCAAATAAAGTCGTATCTATTTATAGAAAAATTTTCATATACCGATATGTTCTTTGTATACTTTTCTGCATATGAAAGGATTTTGCCCGCACCGAAAATTCTATCAGCATGTATATACATTGCATTATATAAGAAACCTTTCTATTATGTAATACAAATATACTATTTATTGTCTTCTTCTTCCTCCTCCTCTTCTTCCTCCTCCTCCTCTTCTTCTCCTTCTCCTTCTTCTTCTTCTGTCTATTTTTGAGACAAGGTCTCACTATATATAGATTAGGCCAAACTCAAAGTCACAGCAACCCTCCTTTTTCAGCCTCCTGAATGCTGGGATTACAGTATGTACAGCCACACCCTGTATCCACAGGGTGGTTCTGAGTGTTTGGTCTGGAGTTTTCATAGCTGTGGCTTTTTAAAGCATGTTATCAGTGATATTCAAATAGGAACAGTTTCTCCCTACCTTCAGGAGAGAACATTTGGCAATATGAAGTGATATCATTGTTTTTTACACCTGGGGGGTGTCACACACACACACACTCACACTTCATGGGTACTGAGAGACCAGGGATGCTGTTAAACATCCTACAATATACAGGAGTTACTCAATCTAAAATGGTAATAGAAGCTGTGTGGTGATGCATACCTGTCATCCCAGTGCTTGGGAGGCTGAGGCAGGAGGATCACTGTGAGTTTGAGACCAGCCTGGGCTGCCTAGTGAGTTCAAAGCCAGCCTCACTTGCCTAGTGAGAGCCTGTCTCAAAAACAAAATAAAACAACAAAAGTAAAACAACAACAAAACTGTAAACAATGTGGAAGCCAGGAATGCAGGAGGGCAGACAGGGCACACAGTGGCCAGCACAGGGTTGTTTAAGAGCAGCCCCGGGTTGTGTGGCTATCTGGTATGAAGGGAAGTGGCTTGAAGCTGTATTACAAAAAGTTTTGAGGTTTTTTTTTTTTTTTTTGTATTTGTTTTTTATAACTGAGTAGACAGTAATTTTCCTCTTTAAAAACAGGAGGATGGCTGGTGAAGTGTGGAGGTGGGTGGGTAGTGGGACAGAGATTCTTTACATGCAATTACATGCTATAGAGAAATTAAGGATGTAGAAAACACTCCAAAATTCACAGGATATAGCTCAGCTACTTGAAAAGCAAATGCTGGAATTAAATGCCTTACCATTAAACTAGAAATAAGGAAACTTAATTCAGCAAGCTAGAAACGGAAGGAAAAAAGAATAGGAAAAACTGAGAAAAAGTAGAGTAAATTAAGAAAGATAAAAAGCAAAAAATTAATTTTTAAAAAGCAAGAAAAATCCCCAAATCTATAACTTGATCATATACACTTAGAAAAATAAAATAGACAACTTTTCAAATTTAAGAGGGCAATACATAAAATTAGATACAAGTGGATCTAGGAATGGAACATAAATGTTGATAAATATTTTTCATTCGCAGGGCATGGTGGCACACACCTGTAACCCCAGCATTCAGCAGGCTGAGGCAGGATAGAAGTGAGTTCAGGGCTGTTCTGAGCCACAGAGTAAGACTCTGTTTCAAAAAAAAAATTCAGAAACTTCAGTAGAAGCTCAGTGTGCAGGAGTGACTTGGGCACGGGTGACAGACTTGGCACTTTATTATTTATTTAACACCTATTTACTGCTGTGTTCCAGCTGCTGTCCTAATCACTTGGCATAGTGCACCGAGCAAAACAGACAAACACTAATATCTACAGAGGATTCCATTCTGAGCTCTAGTGAGCCATCAATGTAGCTCAGGCCCACTGCTGGCCCATGCTTGGTTTTGTTTTTGTTTGTTTGTTTTCTTGTTTTTAGAACAGGGTTTCACTATGCAGCCCAGGTTGGCCTCAAACTCAGGATTCCTCCTGCCTCAGCCTCCAGACTGCTGGGATTACAGGTGTGAGCCACCATGCCCGGCTGGCCCAAATGCTTGGATCCCAAAATGTTTGTTGAATAGACAAGAAAATACTAAGATGGTGAGGCAGAGGATGAGAGGAATTTGAATCTCTGGAAAGCCTAGATCCAGAAGAAAAAGAGGAACCTACTCTAATAAAAATTAGTATTTCTTTGTTTTGAGACAGGGTCTTACTCAGGCTGGTCTCAAACTCCTGGGCTCAAGTGATCCTCCCACCTCAAGCATCAGTGCTTGGCGAGAAAACAGACCCCTGTTGAGGTCTCTGGGCCTGGAAGCTGAGACACTTAGACGACTGTATCACTCAGAGGGCACGGAAGAGCTGGTGAGATGGCTGTAGATGGGTTGAGGTCTGCAGGAGGAGTGGATGGCATCTGCTGGGCAAAACCAATTTTACACTAGAAACAGAAAACATTACTGGTTTGTTAATTACAGCATTCATAGGATTAGATTTACCTTTGGGTGTGCGAGCAGTAACCCATGCTTTAAACAAACAACTCCATCATGCCACAAGAATTAGCAGCAACAATAGGCATCTTCTTAGAACTACACTGACAGGTGGCCCGCAACGCACAGCCCCTGTCTGACCTGCAGCAGGGCCTGTATGCCACACCTCTGCGAAGAGCCAGCCCACAGGAGCAGGGACACAAAGTAACACATTCTTCTGTGGGGTATTTGTTGAGAACTTGTTCTGTACGGGGCACTGAGAGGAGCACAGAGAAGAGGTGAGAGAAGCATAAGAGACCTGGATACCTACAGTCCGATGAATGGAGGAGACAAGATTAACAAGTTAGCAGCACACAAACACACACACAAAATACATGTCACATCCAAAGGGCGGATGCACAGAGCCAAATGGGATTTATGGGCAGAGAGTCCCCACCAGAAGGGTGGGAAGGGGCATGACGTGGTGGGGTCAGTGTTACCTGGGAGACTGATGCCAGGACACACTACCACACTTCTTTTAAAAGACGTGGGAGGTCTGGAGATGTGGGTCAATTGGCAGACTGCTTGCCTAGTATGTGTAAGGCCTTGGGTTTGATCCCTGGCACCACACATACACAAGTACACAAAACACAAGAAACATGGATTTGTTTTTGTTTTTTTAGAGTTTCAGGGATCGAACTGAGGACCTTGTACTTGCCAGGCAGGCACTTATAATGCTGAGCCATATCCCCAGCCCCTGAGTTATATCCCTAGCCTTGCAGGAAAGATGAAAAAAATACGAAATTATGTCAAAGATGTGTATTGTTACTATTTAGGTTGTATTTTTTAAGTTTTTTACCCCTACGTATAGGTGTATACATATTCATGTGTATAGTTTTTACGTAAATGAGTTCACACCATATCTATTATCCTATGTTTTGTTTTTATGTATTTAACAGTAAGTTTTGAACATTTTTCTTTGTCGATAAACTTTTTATGGAGATGTCAGATTTCACTAATTCTATATTTTGCCACTTCAGGTTAGTAATGATTATGGTTATTTTTTTCCTTTGGGAATGCAATAAAACCTTGGGTTGTAGGTGTAACTTCACCTGTGAATGTTCCACAAGATGAGCAAATGTTTCTAAAAGATTTTAACATGATAAATGAGCAGTGTCTTGCCATATGAGTAGTATGGCACGCTGAAGGTTGCATGATCACAACTGGTTCTCCTCTCTTTCTCTTGTTGCTTTGATGTACAAGTGCTTTGGATTATGAGCAGAAAGTTTTGCTGTAGTCTTTTTTCCCCCCAGTACTGGGAATTGAACCCAGAGCCTTCACACTGAGCTATATCCTGGGCTCTGCCTTCTTTTTATATTTTTAATTTTGTCCCACTAAGTCACTGAATTGCCCACACTGGGCTCAGATGTGGAATCTTCCCAGAGTGCACGATCAAGCCCAGCTGTACTTCCTCTGTATAGAGAATAGCTGTATCAAAGAGTATACATAGCTTCAAGATTTTGATACCAATTGTTCATATCAGTTTAGAGTCCCACCATGATCTAAGAAGCATGTCCTTTTCACTTTATACTTCCAAACTTTAGGTATAAACACTTAAGAAAAATGCAAGTTTGATAGAAAAGCTTTCTTTTGGACTTTCTTACTTGTTTCTTTTTTTTGAGACAGGGTCTCGCTGTGCAGTTCAGGCTACCTTGAATTCACTTTGAAGCTGGAGCTGGCCTTAAAACTCCCAAAGATCCTCTTGCATCAGCCTTCTGAGTACTGGGGTTACAGGTGTGTACCACCACACCTGGCTATTTGGACCCTTTAAAGGCTCATCAGTCACTGGTGATTCTTTTTTGATGAATCATCTGATTATGTGCACTATGTGTGTCTATGTTTTCTATTCTATTGGAACATTCTTTTTATTCCATTTCATTTGTGGAAGTTTTAACATTCTTTATTTCATATATATGTCATTATAAGAATGATTGGTATGTTTCAGGCTGTTAACTCATTATCTTTCATATATCACAAATATGCTACCCTAGATCAGCCTTTTTCATTTAGTTTTGTCCATTTTTATTGCATTTTTAGAGGGGGTGGTCCCAGGAATCAAATTGAGGACCTCATGCTTGCTAGGCAGGTGCCATGCCCCTGAGCTATATCCCCAGCCCTGACAATTTTTAAAGCATACGTAAATCTAAATCTCCATTTAGTCATGGTAGCCTATTCATGCTTACCAAACTGTAGGGCTGCAGGTGGCTGTGCCCGGAAGCTAGAGGCCAGCAGGTGGGCGGGATGAACCCACCCTGGGCGGGGACGGAGAAAATGCCCAGCGGGACAGACCAGGGCAGAGCGCAGAGGTGGCAGTGTGACTCACAGGATGCTGACCTGAGTGAGGACTGAGCATGATGGAAAACGGGAGGAGGAGCCATGGGGGTGGAGCGGGGCCTGTGTCCTTTCCCTCTGGGCTTGTATGGAGGCTCCTGAAGGGATAACTCACTACTATCTGGATTAAGCTGGTTTCTGTCTGGATGTCAGATACATTTTTTCCTGCAGAATTATATATCACGTAAACTGGGTCCTAATACTCTTATGAATTTTGTTTGTATTTAAAAATTTCAACGTAGATGAAACGTGGTTTTTTTAGTGAATTATGAGAATTTAGGGGTTAATTTCTTTTTCCTGAAATCACCAGTGGTTAAAATATCTCTCCTGGTGCTGGGTGTGGCGGCACATGAGGATTACAGGCATGTGCCACCCCGCCCAGTACCAGGAGGCTAAGACTAGAGAAATTTGAGTTCGAGGGCAGTTTGAGCTATTTAGTGAGTGCAAGGCCAGCCTGAACTATGGAGTGAGACTCTGTCTCAAAAAGAAAAATTTAAAAAACTCTTTCATGGGTTTTTTAATTGGCCGTTCTCTGATGTCTTCTGTCACCACAGTCTGCTCTATTGGCTGGTCTTTTCTATAGCGGATCATCCACCTGTGCAGATAATGTTTTCCTTAAGTATATTTTAATAAGTGCTAGGAAAAATGGGAACTCACTCTGGCCCTTTGGGTCCCTGAGCAGCAAGTGAACTAGGACCTAGATTTAGCGGGTTTGGACTTTGTTGCTGGTGCAGAAATCACCTGGATCTTGAAGAAGAGCCCCACTGTCACTGGGGAAACCCCCAGCTCTGGCCCAAAGGTAGTTCCATGCACTCAGGGCTCCTGTGCCACTGCTGCCCCTGCTGCGTCTGCCCTGTGCGTCCCGGGGGGATGAAGAAGCCCTCTGTGGAAGCCTTGCTGATGGTCATCCAAGACTCCCTCCAGCCAACGCTCCATCCTCCAAGGATTTCCAAGGGTTAGCTCTGGGGATCCGTTCTAGTCTGTGTTATTGCCAGAGAGAATCCTTTATAGTTGCTGGCATTTATTGACTTTCTCCTGGGTTCTTTAGTAAATGTAAGTTTCCCCTATTATGCATTTGCTGGGCTGGCTGGCTTTCTTTTTCCTTTTCTGTTTTTTAGTTTAGAGCTTTGCACTAAACTACATCCCCAGTCCTTTTTTTTCATTTAGTTTTTTAAATATTTAATTTTTTTTTTTTTGAGACAGGGTCTCACTATTTGGTCTAGGGTGGATTTGAACTCACTGTGTAACCCAGGCTGGCCTCAGCCCTGTAATCCTCCTACCTCAGCCTCCCAAGTGTTGAGATGACAGGCGTGTGTCACCATGCCCTGCCTAATTTTTAATTTTGAGTCAGGGTATTGCTAAATTGCTAAGTTGCCCTGTCTGGGTTCAAATGTGAGCTCTTCCTCCCAGAGTACTGGTATGACAGGTGTGTGCCACTTCTCCTAACTGGCGTTTTCTTTTTTAAAGTGACTTTTAAAGGATCTTTCTTCTTGAGGAGTAATGAGGATACAGCTACAAATCCTCAGCATAACTCTTAGTGAACTCTCATGTAAGTATCCACTGTGTCACTACTCCGGCTCAAGATACTTCCTTTACACTTAAGAAACAATCGGGGGAAGGTTGAGTGGAGAAGGAATCATGAATGTGCTCCCCAAGTGACCATTTTTATTTTCTAGAACTGCCAGTCATCCAAGATTTTAGGAGAAAAACCATGTGTCTGGTTTGGCTTTATAAGCGCATGGAGAGCGCGGTTAGAAACCTGCCAGTCCTCTCCCAGGGGAACTTGCTTCAGTTTCAGGGACTGGAATGGGAGCAGATGGCAGCTCCCGGCTCATAGGCTGTCATGAGGACCACGTGAGGCAGTGTGTGTAATGCACTACAAATGCCAGTTGTTGTTGTTTTTGTTCTTATGAATTACAGCAATGATGATGAAGAGGAGGAAGAGGAGGAGGAGAGGCTGAGGTTCCTAACTAGGAGTACACATCAGGATCACCCTGGGGCACTTGGGCAAAATACTCGTGCTCAGCCCCGCTGTGCCTCTGAGTCAGGGTCTGATTTGACAGTCTCTGAAGGCTATCACATTGCTCATAGATGGTCAAGAACCACCAAGCTGGAGGTGGCTGGGACCAGAATCAGGGAGGCCAGTGGGTGGCCCCTGCCAGGGTGCAGGTGCAGCAGGATGACACCCACACTGGGTGGGGCTGGAGAGGATGCCCAGTGGGGCAGACTCAGGCAGAGTGAGAGGTGGCAGGAGGTGGTGACCATGGGTGGGGTGGCAGGCCTCAGGTGACTCACAAGGTGCTGACCTGGGTGAGTACAGAGCCAGGATTTAGACTACAGGGCAGGGGGTGGGGAGCAGAGATTTCCATAACTCCCCTTGGGCTCCTGGTGAAGATCACACAGGATTTGATGCCTAGGCCTGGGTTGGTGGTGTGGTTCTCGAAGGCTGGGTGCAGAGGATGGGTAGAGCCATGGGCCTGGACATAGGGCAAATGTAGAGGTCAGAGGAGGCCCAAGTCCATAAGCATCTGCCTCCGGAAAGGTGTCTGTCCACTTATTCTGTCCTCCCTAATTAGAGGAGGGCTTGCTTCTCATGTAACAACTCCCTGTTATTATAGAAAACTGGGAAATAAGCAGTCTTCATCCAAAAATGAGTAACAACTTTGGGTTATTTCCTGTTCTCAGGTCTCAAAGTTTTCCACACTGCTTAATAGAGCTTAATCCTAACCTGTCGGCAAACACACTGGCCTGTCACAGCCGGCCCTGGTGCATGGGTTTCCTAGATCCTGGCTTTCCCGGACCTTGCTATCAATCAGTTTCTCTTCAATTAGAATTTAAAACACTTCAGTGTCTCTCTCAGGAGCATTTGCATTCAGAATTACAGATGTGAGAGAAACAAGAAAAGGTTTTGCATTCCTTAGGGAGGTCAATCCTGGGATTAATTATTCATTTGCTTTTTCTAGAACAGTGATGTCCAGTCGAACTTTCTATCGTGATGGGAATGACCTTCTGTGCAGTCCAGTATGGTAGTCACATGTGGCAGTTGAGGGGTTGAGATGTGGCTAGTGTGACTGAGGAACTGGATATATTTTTTTCATTTTAGTTAAAATTGAAATTGGCAGGAAAAAAGCAGGTACTATTAGGAAATATTCAGTAACAGGCAAGCACATGAGGCCTGGCCCTCCTGACTGCCCACTGTCCAGTGGACTTTCTTCCCCTCGAGCCTCTGTCCCTTGTCTTGCCTGCTCAGTGATGGACCCCTATGACCTCTCACAGCCCCTGCTCTTCCTACCTTAGAAAAACTGCCTGTGCCTTTCTGCCTGCACCCCCTCCCTGCCCCTGCTCATGAAAAGCCCACCTCATCCAACAAGGCTTCCCAGGCCCTACGGTCCCTTTGGGGTGAGGCCAGTTTTAGGAATCTGATTAGATTCCATTTAGCTTCTTAGTTGAGTGAGGTGACAGGATGGGTCTTAGCAAGATGTGACTGCAGGACAGCCAGGCATGAGACTGCAGACCTCTCTGACCACTGCTCACAGCCAGAAATGTATCTCATGTGCCAAACGTGACACGTGAACCAGTGCACACGTAAATAACAGAGAATCCAAGATTTTCTAAAAATAATACCCTTACTATGTGTGAGTCATTTGGATATTTTCTGCTCTGTTTAAGTTTTAGACAAAAATGTTGGTTGTGACTTACTAATTTCATAACTCATTAAGGGTCACAACCTGCAGGGAGAAAAATGCAGCCTGAGATCATCGCTGTATCTCTGCACCCCAGCTGTGGTGATCACCCTGACCAGACCCAGTCAGCATCAAGGTGGTTGGTTGCTTCCTTCCTAGTCTATCTGGAGCAAGACAATAAACAAGAAACGACTCCTCTCTGAGTGTGAGGGGCCAGCCTGCCAAAGATGCCCACTTGCTGCTGCTGTCACTGTACTGCCCAGGTGTTGCACACTGGATTCCTTTCAGAAAGAGCTAGCAATGCTTGGTGCCTGTGGGTGGGAATTTGGTGGGCTCTGCTCTCTGGGCAGTCTCCTCTGGGGGCTTTGGTTGGTTGTGCAATAAAATGGCCATGATCACAGATACTGTCTCAGGAGACTGAAGTCTTTAAAGCACTCTGGATGACTGAAAGAAAGATGCAGCTCTCTTGACCCTCCCAGGATCACAAACTACATCTCATCCCTGATGAGGAACCTCCCGGGCCTAGCAGGGCTCAGTAGCACTGCTCACCTGTAAGGTCACAAGAGACAAAGAGAACAAAGCAGAACCTGGTAGCATCTGCCAGTGATCCCAGATACTGTGGAGGCTGAGGCAGGGTGCTTGCTTGAGGCTAGGAGCTCAAGCCCTGCCTGGGAAACCCAGGGAGAACCTATCTCAGAAAAAGAAGTAAAAGAAGAAAAAAGAGCAAAATGATGTTATCATGATGATAGAAACACGCTACTGTCCAGAGGATGGATGATAAATATATTTAAGGTGCATTCCAGGTGCAAGTGTGTCTCAGAGCTCACGTCTGCTTTTAGATTTTAACCCCAAACCGAATGATTGAAAACAGGATCCCCAGAAAGAGCTAAACCGAAATCCTTGCACTGAAAAAGGTACTTTATCCCTCTGAGCACTTCAGGCTGTGCTGACACCTACTTAGCACACAGGCTTAAAAAGCCACTATCTGCTCCTCACCCTCTGCGGGGAAAAGAAACAGCCAGAGTGATGGTGGCAGGTGGTCCTAGGGACAGACTGCACATGGGAGCAGAGCGGAGCTCTGTAAGGAAGGAGGAAGGGACCACCGAAGAGGAGCCCAGTTACAATACAGTCCAGTTGCATAGGAGATGCTTGTAAGGGAGACGACTTCAGGGGGAAAAGATTTTTCAAAAGACATTATGGAACTGTGACCACGGTTTAGTAAGTTTTCCCTTCGAAGTGGTTAAAATACTGTTTTGGCAGTTAAAGTTACACTTTCCAGAAAAAGCAACTCATGGGCACCTCAGTGATCTGGATAATGGAGATGCTGTTGAGTGGCTCTCTTCAGGCAGACGTCCTCCCTGGGACTGTGCAGGTGAGGCACATTGTGACCTGGGGTTTGTGGGTGAGCCCTGGTCACCAGCGTGGCTGCCTCAGGCCAAAGCGCCTCCAATGCTGTTGGGTTTCTTGGTTTGCTGATGATGGCTGGTGGGGAGAGAACTCTGAGGTGAAGTGACCCACAGGACAGAGGCCAGGGCAGGGCCACTCTGTATTTGGGCGGGGCAGTTTGGACAGTGGGGATGGGCTGGAAGACAAAGTGTCCACCCCTTCACTGCTTTACCCAAGCAAGGTAGCCCACCCGCCAAGGTAGAGCCAAGTCCTTTTGTCTTGGTAGCGTATCTGTCTCACTTCCCCGACCACTCAGTCCCCGGCTGTGCTTCTGTGAGTCACACTAGGTGACGGGAGGGGCCCTCAAATAGAAGCCAGGTACTTCTGAGAGAAGAACGATTTATTCCACCTCACCTGAGAAAGCATGAAGCCAGTGCACTGGAGACCTGCCGCATCACCAGCAAGTTTCTGTGTTAGCAGCCGATCACCAGGTATTATGCATGCATAATACATTCCGCATCCTATCGCTGATATTCACAAATGTTATTCAAATAAAGAGGGTGAAACTGTTTCTCCTGGGAGGAGTGCTATCATAAATACCAGTAACAACTAAAATAGTATCAAGATCTCTAAAAGCATTTTAGGGGGTTTTCAAGTGGTCCCAGGGCCAGACAGGGCAGGCCTTTATAGAAGTGGCAGTGTCAAGAGCAGCCCAGCCGGTGTAGTGTGAGGAGTGGAGGAAAATCGCCCCAGCTTAAACTAGTGGAAATTAGATTATAAACAATTTTAACAGAAAGAAAAGGGAGCAAGGCAGTAGCCACAGTGGACAGATGAGCTTAGATTTCCGAGGGCCTCCTGACGGTTCCCATCTGTAGGATGTGTTGGCGGGGATACACCATGGTGTGTCAGGATGCCCAGAAGGACAGAAACCCTGAACGAGCAGCGGCTGTGGAGGAGTCCCTGTGAGCACCAAGGTTGGGTGTTTGGTTCCTTCCTCGTCTGTCTGGAGCAAGAGAACAAAACGTAACGCTTCTCTACGAAGGGAAGGCGGGAGTGTTCATGTCACAGAGAGAGGTAAAGAACCCCATGTCTCTATTTCCAACTCTACGCTTCTCAGCAGTGCTCTTCACACTGGGAACAGAGACATGGAACCAGATCACTGTGTGACATGAAGCTCCCAACAGTAGAGGTGCTAGTGGATCCCCTGCGCCCTCTTCACAGAGCAAAGCCTGCATGCACATTCCCAGGCCGTCCAGGGGGACTGCAGCCCCTCACTCAGCACTTCGGGACTAACCTGGACAAGCACGGGTGAGGGAACGTAAATCTGTCCTGCAAAGCAATGTATTTTATTTGTCTTTAAAATAAATACCCTGAAGGAGACTTCTCTGGGCTATAGATGACCCAGCCCTGGGAAGGATAGTAAATAGCTCTGAGTCAGGATTCAAAACAGTTTGTCAGGGTAGAAAAGGAAAAGAGAAAATTTTACAAGGGAAAATGTAGCATCTTGTAACTGGGGGCACTAACACCAGTCATCCAAGTAGACGGGGATGAGGGGAGCTGGTTTTCCACAGGTTCCAAAAGGACCAGGGGTGAGAGTCCCTGCCAGCCCAGCCACAGCGGGAGCCAGGACCTGGGAAAAGAGAGGGGCGGCTGCCCTTCCCTACCCCCAGTCCTCAGGCGACACGATGGCCAGTGTGGGGCAGTGCAGGCTCGAGGACACTGGAGAAGGTTTGGGGACAGCAGCTGGTGAGGCAGGGGGCCATCGGCCCGCAGAGAGCAGAGTTCCGAGAAGGACGTGAGATGAGCTGAGTGACAGGGAGGACACAATTCTGTGCGTCCAGCAGGCTGTGTGGTGGGGAGCAGCTCGGCTCCGTCTGAGGATGAGCCTGTTTGGTGATGAATTCCGTCCAGGGGAGGTCTGCATATTCCTGAGATGGCCTTCCTGCTGGGCGTGCCTCAGAGTGGACATTAGAGCCCGTGTGAGAAGGTGGCCCAAAGACTGTACAAGCCCATTTCCGCATAACTGCTTGAACAGCTTGAACAAGCAGTATGGAGTAGAGGTTAAAAGAGCAAATCTAGAAGAAAAACAAAAAAAAAAAAAAAAGAGCAAATCTGAGCACCAGGATTCAAGTCCTGCTTCTCTCTTTGGTGATCTTGGGCAAGGTATTTATGCTTTCTGAGCCTGTTTCTCCATTAAAAATGACAATTACAGACTAAACCAAACAACGATAGGAGAGGCTCATGGAAATAGGACACACCTGCTAGGGGTTTTGTGCAGTTCACAAGAATTAATCAAGGCACTTAGTGTGGTGCCACACCTGTTCTAAAGGCTGTGCCCTGGGCAGCTGCTGGGTTTCATCGCTGGCGCCATCGTCATCATCAATTCACCCCAGCGACTGAGCCATCTCGGTGCCAGGGGACTAGAGATAAGTAGGTAGGGACCCAGGTCTCAGGAAGTTGTGCTCTAGTGTGGAAGGCACAGGACTGTCATATGTGGAGAGGGAGAGGGCAGTGGAGGGCGTGGTGATGTCACCTGAGCAGAGCGTATCTGGGGAGGCTCCTGGGGGCGGCGGAAGTCAGCTCGCGAAACCGTGACGTGGCTCAGAAGCATGTTCAGCGTCTGGCAGGGCGCGCTCCCGGGCTGTTTGCTCTGAGGGTGGCTGCACTAGGACTGGCTGGGCTGGCTGGGCAGGTCCAAGGGCACGGCCCCACCCGGGCTCCTGGGCACACCTGAGGCCCATAGCCCTCATGCCCGAGCCTCCGGCCTCAGCACTGAAGCTCCCTGACGTGCCTCGTGCCTGTCTCTGGTCTGCGTCTGGCACCAAGCTGGGCGTCCTCTGTGATGTGGTGACACATCCTGTTCTGAGGATGGGTGGGGTCAGGGTCATCCACTTTACAGTTAAGGAAACAGGCTGGCACCTTGAATGTCTTATAAAAGGCAGATCCAGGACTTGGAGCCAAGGATTTTAATGCTAAAATCAGGTGCCTTTTCTGTACCCCACCCCGGGGAAGACCAGAGATGACTCAGGTGAGAACCTTGCCTCCAGGAGGTGAAGCTGGGTATCTGACACCCAGCCCCCCTCGCCCCAGGAGGGCTGTGAGGGTCCTGGCCTGCAGACCCTTCCTGCCAGGGACCCGCCTGCCCCCCAGCTCAGCAGCATCTCCACAGGGCCATTTTTGGAAGGAAGCCTGTAGTTTAAGAAAGACGGGCTTTAAGCAGCCGTGGCTTTACTTTCAAACAGGATTTCATCTGAACACAGTCGAAATTAAAAACAGTGCTGTGAGTGCCAGAATGAGGGAAAGTGTGTGGCCCTGTTGCCTTTCCTGCGCACCCCAGATCACTCTGCAGGAACTCTGGGAGCTCGCGGCCCTGCTCTGAGGTGGGAGTGCTCACACATCCACCAACGAGCTCCTCTCCACGGGGCTGTTTAGTTTGTCCCTTTCCCCCCTAATTCTGGTGAAATATACACAGTATAAAACTTATCGCATTCTTGAGACTATGCTCTTAAGTGAAATAAGGCAGACACACACGTTTAAATAGCTCATTGTATCTCTGATGTAAGAAACCGAAAGTATAAATAAGGACCCAAATGGATAGTAGATATTGGGAAATGGGGAGAAAATGTCCAAATGAGAACGGGAGCTGCAGTGGGGGGCAGCGGGGCAGGAAAAAGGACAAGAAAAGAGAATAAAAGGGAAAAAAGAATCAAGATATATCTTGTACATGTACAAATTCCTGATGAGTGTTGTCACTATGTATATCTAAAATGTACCAATAAAATTAATGCTTAAAAAATAAAATTTGCCGTGTTCACCTTTTTAAAAAAATTTTTTTTGAGACAGGCTCCAGCCTGTAGATCACCGTACAGGATCTACAGCCCTGCTGTTAGAGTAGGCTTGACCTCACTGTGTGGCTCAGGGACCTCAAACTTTTGCATGCCTGCTCATATTCACCCAGTGGCATTACGTACACTCGCAATGTTGTGTAACCATCTCCACCATTTTATTTCATCTTGCCAATCTGAAACTCTGTGCCCCTTAAACACTTAGCTCCCCACCCCTCCCCAACTCATGCAGTCAGGACTGCTTTCTGTATGCGTTTAACCCCTCTAGATACCTCACTCAGCAATCGCTGTGCCTCGGTAAATCTCCTTGGCTCCCACACGGCCACTGTGCAAAGCCGATACCTCATATAAGTGGACTCACAGCGTCTTTGTTTTCCCGTCTTTCCCCTTCCCCTTCCCCTCCTCCTCTTCCTCCTCCTCTATTCTGCTTTATTTCACTTATCAAAATGTTTTCAGGGTTCATCCGCGTTCTAGCAAGGATCAGAACTATGGCATGAATATAAGGCTGAATAATGATCCATGCTACCCTTAAACCACATTTTGTTCATCTGTTTATCCATCCAGGGATATTGAGTGGTTTCTAAGTTCCTTTTTTATTCTTATGAATACAAAATGAAAGCTGCTGATTACGGGTGTACTGATACTTGTTCAAGCCCCTGGTTTCAGTTCTTTGGGGTCTATAACTGCTGGATGATGGTAACTCTAGGTTTAACTTTTTCAGGAATTCCCATACTAGTTGCCACAGTAGCCAAATCATTTATGTACCCAGCAGAAATCCACAAAATTTCCAGTTTCTTGACACCCTCACCAGCATGGTGGAATTTTTAATTTCTTGTTCACGGCTGCATTTCCAGGGAATGGACATTGCACACAGTAGGCGATTGACGGATATTTGTTGGATGAGCAAGTGGGCAGCGCTGGTCTCAGAGCAGCTGTGCCTGGGCTCCCTCTTCCCTGAAGCCGGCACCCCGTCAGCAGGTGTCTACCCAAGTGGGGTCCCCAGCCCTTTCCAGGAGTCCCTGTTCAACTTCAAGAGAACCACCCTTCTGATGGGGGTGAGTTATTTAGGGGTGGTCACTGTACTTCTGCACGTCAGCTACACTGAAGAGGAAATGATGTTACACAGCGTCATGGAACTGAGGGTCAGGGATGTAACAAGCTGGCTTCCACAGGAGTATTTTTCAAACTGTGATTCTTGGCCCATTTGTAACTCTGAAACCAGTTTCTACTGGTCAACACTAGAACTTATGAAAGATGAAATAAAAACATCAGGTCATGCTACATGGAGATGAAAAGTATACATCAGTTTGTGAAATTTTTGTTTTCAGTGTGATATTTACGAATGTGTATGTTGGATCACAGTTTGACATTCCCCACCGTACAGGATCTACAGCCTCTGCTGAAAGAATTACTCATGACAGGGAGTGCCGGGCCTTACGGGGCAGCCCATGCCCTCCCGTGCTTAGCTGAAGCCATTTAGCATGTGAGATCTCTGTACCGAGCCCCACTGTGTGCAGGGCCTGGGTCAGGCCCTCGGGAGGAAAAGGGACCGACAGCACTTTGGGGAGTGTCTCCATCAAGCTGTGAGTGTGGGTGGTGAATTTTTTTTTTTAACATGAAAAAGAAAAGTTCATTCAGGACAAGGATAAGACCAGCCAGAGAGGCCTTGAGGAGCGGGAAGGAGATTGAGGAAAGGGATTGGGGAGAGCGCACCCCTGTTTTCTGTTCATCCCGGGGCTTGGCTGTTTGACCCCGGGGCTGGCAGTAGGAGGAGGGAGACCAGAGATGCCTAAAGGGACGCGGCCTTTGGGGGACAGCCTGTCTTCTGAGCCTGAGCCTACAGCAGAGAAACTGGGCAGGAGGCTGGCTGCTTGGAGGTGGTGTCTGTGATGCCCTAGAATGCCTCTTCCTCTTCTCACTTGTCACTCAGAGCGCTTTTCAAATCCCCCTTCCCGCTGTCCCTGTCAGTGCAGGCTGGTCCCCGTCACTGGTACATCTTTCCCGCCCCATGGTCATCTAGGGTTCCATGATTCTAATTCCTCTGCTTTGCAAGCCCAGTGCCCCGGGGTCCGAGGGCTCTGGGCTGTGGTCTGTGATAGGCAAGGGTGGCTGTGACAGGCGATGGCACCGGCCAGTGGCACCCCTCTTCAGCTCCAGCTTGGAGCAGGACTACAGCTTCCCGCTGAGTGACTTAACAACCTCCCCACTCTGCTGACTCAGAGAGCCCCACACTGTCCCAGGAGATGAGGTCAAGGCAAACCCAGCAGGGTGTTGCCTGACCCCCAGGCTTCAGGGCCAGGTGATCCCGAGGTGCAGAGGGAGGAGGGTTGGTGACAGCTGTCAGAACCCAGGGCGCCTCTTGTGGGAAACTCACCCACTTCCACAGTGGGCTTCCTCCTGATGGTCTTCCACCAGCTGGGCTGGTGACATACAGAAAGACCTGAGTTCCACAAGCTTCCTAAGTGTTCCAACATAGACTTGCTGATCAGGGAGGCCCTGGCCCCCGTGGCAGACTCTAGTGAGCGGTGCCATTCCAGGAGGGTCAACGAGCAAGACTGCCTTCTCACCTGCTGGGCAGCAGGCCAACAGGAGGACCCTCGCCCTCTGACTCAACTTCCCATGACACAGAGCCCAGCCTTGTGCAGAAGGCTGCCAGCCATGAATCCACCTCTGTGCGACTCTTTTGATTGGGGTTCATCCTAGACACCCTGTTTGCTTTCTTCAGGTCAGGCATCTGAGGAGGAAAGGTCTGTGTCTCACTCAGCTTTCTGAAAGGCCTGTGCTCCCTTCTACCCTGAGGTGTCCTCTGATAGCCCAACCCCCACGAGGTTTAAAATTTCCTGCATGCTGGCCCATCATGCAGATGGAGCACCGCGCTGCCATAAGGAAGAACAAGCTTGAGACATTTCTAGGTAAACGGAGGCACTGAGACCACACTCCTAAGGTTAAACGCTGCACAGTATCTCTGGTGTGAGAGACTGAAAGTGTAAATATAAGGGTGAAACAAATAGTGCGAAATGGGAAGAAAATGTTCAAGGGGGAGGGGCAAAAGGGAGAGGGGGAGGGGCGAAAGGGGGAGGGGCGAGAGGGGGAGGGGAAGGGGCGAGAGGGAGAGGGGGAGGGGCGAGAGGGAGAGGGGGAGGGGCGAGAGGGAGAGGGGGAGGGGCGAGAGGGAGAGGGGGAGGGGAAGGAAAGAAAAAAGAGAACAGAAGGAAAAAATGGAAACCGCTTTTGCAAATAGGGAATGGAAGAGGGGTTAAAGGGGGGCAGGGGGATGGGGAAGAAAGAAAAAACCAGGTGTATCAGGTACAGATACAAACTCCCTATGGTGAGCGTTGTCATATGTCTTTAAACTGTACTGATAACATTTTTTTAAAATGAAAAAAATTAGTTTTCTGTACGCTACACAGTTTACATTTCTAAGTCTCACGGCCCCAAACTTCCCCTTCAAATGTGATGAAAAATCTGCCCATCATTATTACACAACACTGAGGCCGAGGGGCGGAAACCACTGCACTGAGACAGATGCGCGGCCCGTCAGCGACTTCTGTGGTTGGCATGACTGTCCCTGCCACGTCCAGGCCCGACGGGGTCTCCCGCGCTCCTAGTCTAACCCAGGTGGTGATTGCTACCCGGTCCTCCCCTCACAATTTCTTAGCTCTCAAAGGCAGCGACTGTTGTTATCTTTCTGTCTCTGGAACTGGCACGTGAAGTCAGTGCTCCACAAATATTGGTGAAAAGCAAATTTTTAACCTTCTGGACGGCAGGGACAGGAATTTTCCTCTTTCTTACCAATTCCCTGACTCTGATTTGTCCAGGTAAACACATATCTGGGCCAATGGACCAGCCAAGTGATGGAGCTATTGG